TTTGATGCTACAGTATACGAAGTTATACACAAAGATTTCAAGGAAAGAGACACTATGGTAACTACTTTTATGTCGGGATATCTTGTGGTGAAATACTATTTTGCTTAAATGGTTATGTTTTGACCTGTGCTGTTTTGTTATGTCCTCTTTGATCTCAATCTCTTTTTTTATGCTTTTAATGAAGGGAAAAATAAATAAAAAATAGCAGGATATATTATAGTAACCCACTTTGATTTCTTATTAACTTGATTTGAAGCCCTGTATTGCTTTCACCATATTGTTTTGACTGATTTTCCTCTATTGTTTTGCTTGATAGTATCAAGTTCGAGAGTATAGGCAACAACTGTGAAGACAATAAGATTCATTATGATGCCCATTCTGGTTGAATATTATCTTCTTTTGAAGTCCTGTAATGTCTCCAATGTTTTAGTTTTATTGGTTTTGTTCAATTTTATTATAACTGTTGATATAGGCAGTTCTTTTTAAGATAGCAAGAGACATTATGGTAACCATTGTTGATCACCTTGTGTTTTGTTTTTACAGTACGTATTATGTCCATCCTTTTGAATTTGACTGACTCTGTTTTGTTACGTCACATTTGGTTTTACTCTAAAAAGTAATAAGAGCTGTGGGAGTAATAAAACCCAAAATGTGTAATTGTCATTGTACAAAAGGAAAAGAAAGTGCTCTAAAGGATATAACTGCATGTATATTTAAATGTATAAGACAGATAATCATATTACTGAGTTTTGATGGATCATTGAACAGAGTTGTTTGCAGTCTCACTGTTTGAATGTCCACTTTATATGCTTTAATTTTATACCGTGAACAACTATTTCTAAGATGACAATATGTAATCTATCAACTAGTGATTTCCTACTTTTTATTTTTTCTGAAATTCTGTATAACTTGTTCCCTTTTTCTGTTTTCTTTTCTCCTGAAATAAAACTGAAAAAAAAAAAAACAAACGCCAATCTACTTCATTCTTCTACAAGCAGGACCATGAGAACAAATTTGGCTATGATAAGCATTTATGGGCAAACAAAAGCTATTATGGACACTTTAATATATATACTTTGTCCTAAATGCATTGTTATACTGTACTTTACACCCTTAGGTTGGTTGGCTAACAATTAAGTGTTAGAGATTCAGGAATACATTCTCCAGGATTCTCCAGCAAGCGTTTTAAAATCCATAATTGGGTGTTCACATTTCAAGAGGGTTCAACTGCTGACTGGGATTCCAGGGCATGCTAATTAACATCAGATGCATGAGAAATCATTTCTCGCTCCTGGAACAGAAAGTGTTTTATGACATGTGCATGGTGAGAGTAATGGCCTAGTGCCTTCTGGCTTTCTATGACCTCAGCATAAGATTTCACTGAGTCTAACAGCCTGGTGCCTTTTGGAGTAGATTTTCTGGTGCTGCTAGCTGACTGCAGAACACTAAAGCTGGGAGCTGCGAAGATTAAGCATGTTCTGCGTCTAGAACCCAGGCCTAAAAGGACACTGATCTAGGACCTGGAGCACCAAGAGCAGGCTAGGTAAGTTTGGGTGCTAATATACATGAGAGTATGCAGAAAGACTACATCAGAGAACTTAAGACTCTTCCCAGACCTCGGGGTAGGGAGGTGAGGGCAGAGGAGGAGCCCTGCAGCCCTCACCTATATCTGATGGCCCAGTCACCTTAGGTCATTTCCCTGAAGGGCAGAGAAACTGCTGCAATAAAACTCTTCTCTGTGGCTGTTCTGCTTTTAATCAAAAAGACAAACTCCTTGACCATAGCAAAAAACAAAACTTTAAAAATTAGTTCTAAGATGCTAATCTGATAGTGCTAAAAATATTTACTGAGTATGCATACTGTAGAAAGACCACTTACACCTGTTTAAATCATAAAAATGGTCACCGATTTTAACTTCAAATTGTGTGCTTTTAATCTATATTTACTTCTATCTTTTAGAAGTCTTTAAATTTCCCTAAACCAATTTGTCTTGACAGATTTCTATTGATCCTGCATTCTGTTGTGATGGGGAAAAATTGATCATTTTTAAGAGTGTGTCCTTTCGTCTGAAGCCACAAGAACCTGCTGTAAGTGCATGGCTGTTTCTGAGCAGGGACTGCTGGAGCTCAACAGGACTTTGGCTGTGATATGACTGACGTTTTTGGGGGTGACGCATGTGGGAGTACCATCAGCACAGTCACAAGCCCTTCCTGAATTAGGACTTCAAACACTGACCACTGCAGCCATGACCATGGCTTTGAAGCTAGGAAGACTCAACCCCTAGAAACAAGGAGGTTGCTTCAGGAAACTCCAAGGAAAGGAAGGATGGCATATAAAGAACTACTTGTGGGCTGGGAATAAGTTAGTTTTTCACGAGCAAATCCATTCATCACCTAAAACACTCCTAGAACTACTCAAGGTGTCAGAGCAGTAGCATCAGAGCTTCCTGAACAAGTGTAAAACAGAAGATGAGGACAGTTTTTCTGAAATGAACAGGCTGAGGAACTAACACAAACCTGCTGAAAGGCGGTGCAAAATAGCACAGCAAATAAAAGAAAAATGCACCAGGCCTAGACTGACGGGATGCAAGGGAGAGTCTGAACGTAGCTTTTGCGTGGTTATTAGGGCATGGTGGATAACAGCACACCAGCATCTGGGACAAATTCTAGACATTCAAGATGGACATCTGACCGGTGGGATGAATGTGCTGAGGAAGAGAGAGGGTGAGGGGGTGTGGTGCTAAGCTGGCAAGAGCTATGCCTTGAAGCTGTGGTCTCAGGTCTCAAAGTTCCTCTGCAGGTAAACAGCCCTCGCATTCTCTCTAGGTCTCCTGCTTCATGCTCTTTCAAGTAAGATGGGTAACAAGAGCTGGGTACTTGGTTTTTTCCAAACCCCGACTGCAGCACTGGGGCCAGACCCTGATGATGGAGAAAAATGAGGACAAGATTTTGAGTTTTCCATAAATCTAAATTTATTAAACATAAAGCTGCCTTCATGTTGCAAATTTAGATTTTGTACTTTACTTGGTATTAAAGTGCCTCTCATTTTATTAAAAAGTGGTGACAGTGAATGGATTTATTTTTTAATGGTCTCACTTGGCAAAGTCTAAATGTGGCAACATGATCCTCTGTGTGAGATCACCTCCTCCAGTCAAAAAAGTGCTGGTCAGCAAAGGACAAGGAACACAACCTCTGGCTGAGAGGCTCCCAACTCCCATGAAGCGTGTCAAGTACAGGTGCAGGGTCCCAGATGCACGTCCAACTGGCACTTTTCCAAAACAAAGATAAGACCTATTTGCTCCTCTGTTTAAAAACTTAGGTTGCTCGTTATTCAGGCTGCCCTTGATCTTTCAGTTCCCCTGCTTCATCCTCCCAGGTTACTAGGATTACAGATTTAGCAAGATCTTGTCATTAAAAAATTAAAAAAAGAACTGGGGATGTAGCTCAGTGTGAAGCCCTGGGTTCAGTCCCTAGTATGGGAGGAAAAAAAAAAAAAAACCTTGTAAGTGTAAGAACTTTTGCACAGCATCTGTGGCCTCTCACAATTCAGCTTTAATCTCGGTCTTCTGCACCTCTCTCGCCCACCACACTCAGAATTTCCACACAGCACCATAAACCTCCGCACTCCCTGCCCTGGCTGCACTGCTGCACCCTGCCTGGCAAAGTCCTATTCCCTTAGACAACCAAAGTCTCCTGTTACTCTTCATTTTGAGATCTCCCTTAATCTGCTCTACTTCTTCGGTCCCACTTCTTAATTTTTGTGAGACCTTGCACAGATTTCTGCCACTGCCTTACTGTCTTTAGAAATGTTTGTTTCTATGTCATCTCTCTTCCAGGCCTGTGACCAACAGCACCTGGCTTCATGTCTGATCCACGAATATTTACTGGCCTGAAATATGTTGAGTTCCATATCGATTTAAAAGGAACGGTGTTGGAAATAAGCCTGGTCTTAGAAGCAAATGGCTAATTATATGGTTTGAACCCTGGAGATTCAGCAAGGCCCCCTCCCATCTTCAAATTCCTTCCGCACTGGTTCATTTGTGCCTGCACTTGTGCCACTTGTGCCTTCCATCCTAAAGTTTCACTCGCTGGCTTAAAGCCTACAGGGTAAAACATTAATCAGATTCTTTCCTAAATGCGGGTTTTATGGAAGACAGGGTGGGGCAGGAACAGGGCACGAGCAGGAAGAGGGGGCAGACCTCTGAGGATAAAACCTGATTCGTCCCGGAAGGGTCTCTGAGTTTCAAGCATTTGAGAGCTACTGATTAAAGAAGCCACTTGCTTGTATCCTTCAAGCTGTTCAGGGTGGGAACTGGTGGGGTCAGCAGGACATAACGTTCTCACAGAGCATAAAGAGCCTCCTACTCTGGGACAGGCAGAGCAATTCAGGCGCCCGGAGAGCAGGCTGGAAATACTCACCAGATTCCAGAGAGAAGCTGGGCGACAGGATGGAAGGGCTGGGGGCTGTGGTGGGGAGGAGGCTGGGACGCGAGGCGGCGCCAGAGGGCGGGCTGGTGTGGCAGAGGACCGGGGCGAGGGTCTGCGGGGGTGCTGGGGGTACGTGGGCAGGCGCCCAAGGCCTGCGCTCTGCTTCCGAGGCCACGGGTGGGCGCACCCCCGGATGGAGGTTCCTGCGCGCCCGGCCTCGGGGACTCGGACCTGGGACTCTGGGTAACTTCTCAGACTTGCCCTGGCCAGGACCGGATAGTGCGGGAGGCTCCCGCGGGCCGAGGGGGCAGACCCGGCGTGCGGGCGTGTGGGTGTGTGCATGAGCGTGGACTGGAGCGACACACACTCACACACACACACTCACACGCCCGCACCCACGCAGGACCCTCGGCCGCGTCGCCTGCCTCCCGGGACCTGCACCCCCAGCCGGCCCTGCCGGATGGCGCGTCCCGGGCCGCGTCCCCGCCACTGGGGAGTCGCGGGACTAGGGTCCGCGGCAGGGTCTCCCCGCCCGCCCGGGAAGGGATGGGGTCAGGGTGCCCGGGCTCTTACCGCTCCGGCGGCCGAGTGCAGGCGGGAGCGCCCTCCGTCCCGCCCCGCCACGTCGGCAGGTCCAGCAGGGACGCGGCCGGAGGGCGGGCGGGGCGGGAAACCGGGGAGCGAGGGGGGAGCTGCCCCGCCCCGCCCCACTGACCGCCGGCCCCGCCCCCGCCGACCACAGGCCCCGCCCCCGAGCCCGGCCCCGCCCACCTCCGGCCCCTCCCTGCCTCGCTTGGCGCGCCAGCTGCGGGCCCCACCCTCCTGGGGAAAGTGCTAGTCTCGGCCTGGACCTGGCTGGTGTAGCTAGTTCTCCTGAGAGCTCTTCAGTTTTATCCGATTCAGATCACTGTGGAATTTGTCATTTTCGCATTCTGAGTTAAGCAAAACTCCCTTTGCTTGCCCTGTCGGGGAGGGTGTAATATGTTTGTATATCAGCAACAGAAAACCACTTTCTAGCAGAACATTTTGAAAACTGGCTCAGATCCCAAATGTATTAGCTTTGGTCCAATGATTGCACATTTGACTGTGGCCCAGGAAACCCCACTTGCCGTAAGAAAGCATGTGTAAACGTGTGTGTGCAGGGACATTTATTGTAGCTATTTGTGTCAGGGATTGCTGGAAGCAGTGGGAATGTCCCACAGTCAGAGACTGGAGAAATTAGCTACAGTAAACTTCAAAACCTCGGATACGTTGTAACCATAAAAGTTAAAATTTATCCACAAGGGAGGAAAGCCATATTAAGACCTTTAGTATATGGCTAAATGCGCTCGAGGAAGGGAGCTTACAAGGTATGCATTCAGCTGGATCTATTTTTGTAAATATATATGCGTGCATGTTTTATATAAAAGCCTGGGAAAATATAATCTAGAAAGTGATTCTGAGCGATGTGCTTAAGGTTAATTTTCTGTTTTCCCACTGTACTTGTCTTAAAAAAAAACCAAACCAATAAATTCAAAAGTAAAGAAGAAAAAAAAGGTACTAGCCTCATTTGAACCCCTTCTCTGTCACTACTGTGACAGTTAACTGAGTCCTTTAAACGGGATCCGCAAGGTCCTGGCTGTGGCTGAGGGGGCTTCTGAGGACGGAAGACCCACCCTAAGGGGTCTCATCACCCGACTGGGACAAAAGGGAACTCAGGAAGGAAGGCTCGCTTCTGTTTTACCTGAGAAGCTGAAGTCCTGATCTTCACCTTGGATGTGGTCTCCTGGCTTCCAGCGCGGACCTTCGGACTCGCAGGGGACTCCACACTGAGCAGCGGCAGCCTCTACTGGACTCTTTGGGTCTCCTGCGCACTGGCGGCCCTTTGGCCCTCTACACCCGGCTCCGCAGGCGGCCCACTGTAAGCCAATCACGTAAAATCCTACAAATTTGTATCATCTTGCATCAAGACTGTTTCTCTCATGAGCACCGACTGATACAGGAACCATCTGAAAGTGTGTAGCTCCTACTATATAAACATGTAGGTACACACACATTTGGTTGCTTTTTATAAAAATCATAATCAGCCTTCTTGGTCAAGACATATGAATCAAATGCATTCTTTTAAGACTTGCATTATATTTCGTAATATGTTTGTATCACAGTTTATTCAGTCATTCCTGCTTAGGTGAAAAAGTGGGAAGTTATCTTAATGTGGCTGTGGGTGGCAATTGCTTTAAATTGATATCAACCTTTTTTAATTGGGCCAGAACCTACCTGGGTTTTTCCAAAGCTAAAGTGGAGTAGAGAGTATTACCTTGCACCTTTCCTTCTAATTCCGGAGCCATGAATGCTATCAGATTGTGTTTTAGGCTTAACAGGTGTATATTTTGGAGCACTATATAAACTACCATGCCTGTGAGTTCAGCCCTGCCTGTAGAGGGCGCTACTCTGCCTTGCCAGCCCGGCTGATAGCTGGCGGGTCCCCTGCTTGTTCTCTGACCCACATCCCACTTCTGTAGTAAAGAATGCCAGCCCAGCCATCCTAGCAACAGGGTGGCCTTTTGCCCACTACAGGGGCTTCTCTTTTACACATATGTAGCTGCTTCCAAGCCTAGCAGTTTTATTTCAGACACTGACATTTTTTTGTAATTTAAATTTTAAAAAGTTTATTTAGAACATTTGGGGGTACTTAAAACATATTGAAAAGTTTAAAATACATATTAAGCTATATATTTTAAAGTATATTATATATATATAAGTAGAAGATACTATGACAAATAGTTGTTTGTATAAAAAAGTAGAGTATGATGATGATGCTTAGATTTAGCAAATTTTAATTTTTTATGTATTTATTTTAGAACCTCTTTTTAAAAGAGAAAAATTTTTGCAGATAGGTTTGAAATCCTGTCCCTTCTGTTCTTTGTCTTACCTGGAGTTATCCATTTTCCTGGGATGGTTGTATATTCTTCTCATCCATATACCCTGATCTATAAACAGAATCATTTTGAAATTTTAAATTTTATGACATTCCGTATACTTGTAGATAACTATATTTTTAAGAATCATTTGTGCTCATACATGAAACGAAAAACATTCATTTCAATGTTTTTATAGGTGTTTATAAAATGTGTCCATTTCTTAACAGATGAACATTTAATATGTTCCATGGTTCATTCAATTTCGGGTAAGGTTGCAGTGACCATTTTTATATACAATTTCTTGCCTCCCTAGGAGTGTCTAGAAATGGAATAGCTGGGCCATCTTTACTAGACATTGCCCAGGTGCCTGTTGGTGTGTTTCAACAACATTTAAAATCAGGTATTTATGTATTAAGTACTGCTACAGGCACTGGCAATTCAAAAGGGAGCAAAGTCCCAATATCTAACAATACATTTTTTAGAAAGATGGATAGACACTGACTTGATAATGTAGCAGGTTGTGCAATAAAGAAGGAAAAAAAATCTATAGCATCTAGAGAATGATGGGTGGGGGCAACTATGGCCAGGGGAGTCCTTGCTGGCTGTTATAGGTTTTGCCTAGATGTCCCCCCAAAGCCTCATGCATTCATTGATGGGCTTTTCAGAGACGGCTGGATCTAGGGTCTGTGAATATGGATTAAGAGTGTGTGATATCTGGATTAGTCTCTTAACTGGATTAGCATAGTTTTGGGGTGTGGCTGAATGGATTTACTGAAAAAAGAAGCCTCGCTCTGGGTGTGGGTGGCATTCACCAACAGCCTTGAAGCCTGGATGGAACATAAAGGGAAAGACAGTAGGCAGGCTCTCCCTCTCCTGTCTGCTCTGCCACGGACGGTTTCTTCTCTGCCATGCTCCTCTTTCATACTGCCTTCCCTTGGAGCCAGCTGACTATGGACTGAGCTCAGCTCTGAGCTAAAATGAACCTTTCTTCCTTTAACTTGTGAGTGTCAGGCATTTTGTACCAGTAGCAAGACAGTAACGAAGACTCTGGTAAATTTCAATGTGACATGGGAGGTCAGAGCAAAGGAGAATGTGTGGGGACAGTCAGAGGGAACAGAGTAGGAGATAAGGCCAGAGAGGTCATGAAGTCTGAGGGGGAGCTGATCAGGCAGTGTCCTGCAAACCCTAATAGAGATCTGGGTTTGTCCTTTGAGTGAGAAAGGAATCCCTACTGCTGTCGGGTAGGAGTTGCATGGATTCTGGTGTCGGAGTCTAGTTAGGATGGGATGAAGAGGATCAGATGGGTGAGAACTATAGAGGCAGGGATCCCAGTTTAGGAGACCGTTGTAGTTATTCACGTGAGATGACAATGACTTTGAACCATCACAGGCATGGTGGAGGCATGAGAAGTATTTTATTTTCTTTCATTTTAAAGAGGAAAAAATAAAATTTCAAAACATGATAGAGGATAACAATGATTAATACATTGCATATTGTTACCTTTTAGTTAGTTACTCAGAGTAAAAGATACCTGCATTTAATTGTCCAAACAATATTAGCACAAATCTGTCTTTTCAATGAACTAAGAGAAATTAGTAGTATAATTAACTACCTTTTATATATAGATTTTTTTTCAGCTTCTCACACTAGGGAGACCATATGATGTTTACATATGTGAGTCTGATTATATTTCATGTATAAGTATGATACAAGAAGTGTTTTGCTTATGGACATATGTCAAATAAAAATTCAACTAAATTTGTTCATGGGTTGGATGTGGGCTTTGGACAAAAGAGAAAGACATCACTAATTACTTGGCCTGGAATGAGAAAGGCCGGGAAGAGAATAACTAGAGATAGTCAAACATTTATTTCAAGGAGTTGGGGTATAAAGAGGAGTAAAGAAGTGCTGGTAGGTTTAAAGAGAGGATTAAAAATGATGAGAAAATGTGCAGCAGGGGCTGGAGATGTAGATGTAGCTCAGCAGCATAGTGCCTGCCTGGCAAGCACAAGGACCCGAGTTCAATTCCTGGTACACAAAAGAGTTGCAGTTTGTATGTTGATTGGAAATACTACATTTGAGGAGAAAAATGTTGGTGCAGTAGTGAGAGAATAATTGCAAGAGTGATTTCCTTGAGCAGACAAGTGGGAAGGCAATCCAGAGCTCAGCAGGCAGGGACTGACTTGACATGAAGAATTCATTCAGAAAGACAAAGGATAACGCAGGCAGCCCAGATACAGGTAGGCTGTGAAAGCTTTGGGGAAGGGTGCAGAAATGCTCTTCTGCTGATATCTATTTTCCTTTGAAAAAATGAAGCATCACCGGCGACGTATGGAGGAGGGAACGAGGTGTTGAGTGTTTGGAGGGGTGAATATGGGATAACCCAGAGGGAGAGGGGAGACTGGCAGGATTGCCGCTGTCTCTTGAAGCTTGGACCCAGTCATGCGTCTCAAGCGAGACCATATGATGTTTACATATGTGAGTCTGAGCTATGACAGTCTCAACAAGAACCACGTGTTTGTTCCCAAAGGCCAGAAGTTTCATGTACTACCGTACTGTGACATGTGATGGACCAAGTGGGTGGAGATGTGTGTGTGTTTCTAGGCGTATTTGCTAAAGACTTTTGTCCAGTGTTGCCTGGGAGTCCCCTAAGGCCACAGCACGCCCCCTCCCTGCTGCCATTTCTTAAATCTGATTCCCCAGGACCCCCTCATACCAGTTGCTTCCTTGGTGCCTCCTGTGCAACCTTCACTCCTTGCTGAGGCCAGTGGGCTGTGAGGACTTCCTGTTGTATTTGGTGAGTAAAGAGGAACAGTAAGCTCTTGAAAGGGCTGCTTCCTCCTGAAAGCAGAAATGATTTTGATCACATGTCTAACTTTGTCATTGGCCAAGCTGCATGGTCTTAACTTTTTTGGTAAAGATAATAGCAGCCTATAGATTAATTACAGAATAGTCACTTAGCTCCTCTGTCCAGTTCTTTACAAAATCCAGACAATCAAGAAGGGAGCAGGGGACCTAGGCTGTGAGTATCTGGCCAGCCATTCACCTTCTTTTTGTTTTAAACCTTATTGATATTGTTCTACAATTTTTCTAAATGGCTCTAGAAAATTTATTTTTAAGTTAGTCCTGCAGGGTCTCAGTGTTATTTGCTATTCCAGGATTAAAAATTAAAACATTTAAGAATTCCAAAAGTGGGCTGGAATGTGGGGAATCAGGATATAATCCTCTTAGGTATGGCTAAATATGTATGTCTTTCCTTGAAAGTTGATTTTTTGAGAAAAAATTGTGGGTTTAAGGTTATTTTGTCTTAAATTATCTAATGAAAAAATTTTTGCACAAAAAATTGCTTCTTCTGGTAGATATAATTATTCTGGAAAGGTTAAATATGGGGACAATAAAGAACAGGGCAGTGCCATAATATCCCATTCCGCTGACAATTTAATATTCATCCTGAAAACTTAAGAGATAAAATTTATCTTAGAAAAATAATTTTCTTTACACTGAACTTTTTAGAAATTGCCTGCTGATGTGAATTTAAACTTGCCCTGTAATCTTGGGGAAAGTTTACATGTAGGTGTAATTCCAGTAAGGGCCAATAGGTGGTACCAAACCACTTCTAAGGCGTTGCTTTACGTAAATTTCAGGACCTGGTTTTTCAAGCACGTACTTTTCCGTGCATTTAGAGGTTACTTTCTCTTCTGAAAAATAGAAGTAGGTAAGTAGGCGCTTTTATGGTTGTATCAAATTATGGCATGAATGTCTCAAATAAGCAATAGAATGCTAAGGGTTATGTAGGAAATAGGTAAGTGTTCTTTAACATTTTTGCAAAATGATTTTGTGTTGTTTAAAAAATGTAAATGTCCTTTGAATTCTACCAACAACTAGTGCTTCCAGTGATGGCTAAGGGAGAAAGCAATCTCATCTGTCGCTCTTCGATCTCTCTTTTCATCTCTAGTTCTTTATGTTACGTAATGTAAACATAGTTTTCCTCGCTGGTGTCAGTCCTGTCACAGGTTATGTATCTTTATGGTAGACTCTGTGCGTTTATCTGCCCTGGTGTATAGAGCTAGTGCTACTCAGTGGTCTGTATCTGTTACGGGTCGTGTTCCTCCTTTTAAGATCAGTGTGAGTTAGTTTGTGTTACTCCTGCTCCTGTTCCTCCCCCCAGGACCTAGCATCTAGGGTGACTTCCCTCAAAGTGGACTCTGGAGAAACATTTATTAAGTGGAGCAGTCCTAGTTCTTCCTAAGGGAATTCAGCACAGTGCTGGCACTTACTTCCTCCAAGCCTCTGACCCCAAGCTTGACACACAAAACACTGTTCCTCTTGTCCCTTGAGTTGGGTAGGAAGTCTTTCCCACATTTACTCACTTGGGTTTCCTCCTGGTCTTTCCTTTCTTACAGTTTTATTTCTTATAGGTTGCCTCCTTGATTGTTTTTGTTTTTCTTCTTGAAATAAGTTTATGTAAACTGTGGGGAACCACCCAGATGACTCCTTGAAAAGAAGAGCCACGATCACCATTTTAGATAAACTTGTCCTGTCTCCGTGTGTTGATGTGCACAGAGCTGGCTGGGCCATTTCCTTTGTCCCTTCAGCTGGCTGTCAGCAGTGGATATTGGGCTGCTGAGGAGCTGATGTGTAATCTCTGAAGCAAAGCAAGAGGTCAGTGTTACCCCGCTCAGTGACTCCCCAAATACGTGGTTGGCTGGGTGGGATGGAGAGCTGTGCTCCACCCCGTCAGCTGGAACTGAACCTCTGGAAAGAGGCTGTGATTTCCCAGGCGAAAAGGATTGTACGTCAGAACTGAAGCACTGACCCCAAATAATCAGACACCACCTCAGTTTGTTATGTAGATTTCTCTCCCTACACTTTTGCCCTCTGTGTTTTGCAGAGTTGATCTCAGAATCTCTGCCTAGCTCACACAGCTCACGGCAGTCAGGGCAGTCACCTATTCCTGCCACCCTCACTGTCACTCATCTCCAGCCCACTCCCCTCAGGGAGAATCAATGAAACCTGGGTTGAGCTCCAGGCGTGGCCTTCCTTCTGGGGACCCACCTTCTTGTCTGGATTCAGGACCCCTTGTCTCCTCATAACTGTGTACATGTCTGTCTGTCTTCTCACCTTGGGTTGCACTGGGAGTGATCAATTGGAGTTAACTCACTCGAATTCCAGTAACTTCTCCTTGTGATTACAAATCTAATAACCTTCCTGGACTGCAACAAGGATAGAAGAGTTCTCTATAAACAGTCCTTCCCCCCCCCCCCCCTTTGGCGTGTTTAACATATTTTATATCTTTTTTTGTCTTCTAAAAAATGGTGAACTCTTGAATTTTCCACTTTCATTTTCTCTTTTACTCCATTTTAAAAAATACTACAATTCTGGAAAGTTCATTAAATGTTCCCCTAGAAACTGCTCAAAGGCATGAGCTCCCCAAGAGGAGTGATAGATTTTTTTTTGTTTTTGAGGCAGGGTCTCACTATGCAGTTCAGGCTGGCCTTGAGCTCTCATTTTAGCTCAGGCTGGTCTGGACCTGCGACGATCCTCCTGCCTCAGCCTCCTAAGTGCTGGGATTAATGGCTTGCGCCACCACCTGAGGAGTGATAGGATTTTTGTAGTAGGGTGTTAGCTTTCCCACCTGGGGGCTAAATTTCAGTTTCCTGAACACAGACACAACTGTGTGGGGCAACCTGGAACGTGAGACCTCATCCACGGCAGTTATCTACCAGAGTGTGAAAGACTTCCTCTCATTATATATGGATCAATAGCACAAATAATGCAAATGTGTTTCTTTAAATATAAAGATAATTATTGTGATTATTATTATTTTTTGAGGTAGGGTCTCCGTATGTAGTTGAACTCATGATGTAGCCCAGACTGGCCTCGAATTTGTGGGGATCCTTCTGCCTCAGCCTCTTGAGTGCTGGGATTACAACGGTATACTACCAATTCTTATATTGTCTTAAAATAACATTTGGAGGTTATAAAAGGTGTTCAAAATTCATGCATTTATTAATACTTTAAACTATAAGAAAGAAAATTAAATGTATCTGTTGCAGAGATATTAGTGTTTAGGATATTTCTTCAGTCTTTTCCTCGGTAAGGCTTTGTATATGTCAGATTTTAATCACATTTTACAAAATTGAAACTCCGCTACATATGTTGTTCTGTACTCTTTTATTCACATAATCTCATATTGTAGATTTTTTTCAAAGTGCAGAATTTGAGACTCCATGTACCGTAATTGAAACAACCATTTTCTACACTAAGCATTCTAACTGCTTCAGTCTGTCATATCCTGAGAATCCGCATAGTCATGTTTTTGTGTCTCTCTTTGATTATTCCTTTAGCAAATTCCTAGCAATTGTATCTCTAAAATAGAAGAAGGTATATTTTAAAGAAATGTATATGAATTATAATTATGAAATTACCGTTTTAGAATTTTTTGTGATATTTGGGATCAATCCCAGGAGCATTCTAAAACTAAGCTATTTTTTAAAATAAAGACCCTTTTATTTTTTAATTTTTTAATTTTGAGATAAGGTTTCTCTAAACTGCCCAGGGGGACTGGAATTTTTGATCCCCCTGCCTCAGCCTTCCAGAGAGCTGTAATTACAGGTATGGCCCGCTGAGCCTGGCTTAGAAATGTTTTACTAATTTTTTATTTCTGCCTAAAGAGTAAATGAGAATTCTTGTTTGAGTTCCCACCTAATAACACTGGGTATTATAGTTTGAGTTTTTCCAGGTTGGTGGGTGAAAGAAAAGTCATGCATTTTTCTTTAATTATTTAATTATTTTATTGGTACATTTTATCTATACAGAGTGATCACATTCATTGTATGGAGTTTGTTCCTGTACATAATGTATCTGAATTCTTTTCCCCGTTCCCCTATCCTCCCTTCAATCCTTCTCTCTATTCATAGAAGTTTAGCTTCCAGTTTTCCTTCTTTTCTTATTCACCCCCCCATCCAGTATCTTGTCCTCATTTGAGCATTTTTTTCTGTTTGATAATATCTAGTATACATTCTGGTCCTTATTTACATTTTTGGTTTCTTACACCAGTGAAATAGTGTGGTGTTACAAATGCTTGTTCAATTTATTTCACTTAAGAGTATGATCTCAAGGTATATCCATTTACCTAGAAATGTCTCAAACTTATCCTTTATGGCTGAGTAATACTCCATTATATATATATATATATATATATATATATATATATATATATATATATGTATATACATCCTCCATTATCTTCTTTATCCATTCATTGGTTGATGGGTCTTTGAGGTATTTCCAAGATGTAGCTATTACAAATTGTGCTACTATAAACATGGTATGCACATATATTGCTGTGATATGGTACTTTTAATTCTTTTGGGAAGATACCAAGAAGGAGAATAGCTAGGCCAACTAGAACCTGTAGTGTTATTTTTTTTTTCTCTCTCTCTCTCTCTGTCTCTCTCTCTCTCTCTCTCCCACTGGGGATGGAACTCAGGACTCAAGCATCCTATATGAGGCTTATACCCACAGCCCCTCATTATCTCTAAAGGTTGCATAATAATATTTAACTATATAGAAATATAATAATTTACTTGCCAACCTGCTTTTTGGACAATTTGATTTCTTTTTCAAAATGTGATTTCTTCTGTACTGGCCACTCTATTGTACTGTCTACTTTGTGCCAACAGTTTTTCAATTGCTTCTCTTGGATTTTCTATGCTGAGATCATATAATCTAAAAGCAGTAATTTATTTTTTCATTTCAATATTTATCCTTGTCATTCCTCCTTCCCCCTCATAATAGTGTTAATTTCTATAAAGAACTACATTAAATACTAGTGGACCTCCTTAGAACTGGCTTGAGTGCCCTGAGTAATTTACTGAGTGAAGAGATATGAGATATTCTTTATCCAAGTTTTCAACGTATCTGGTTGGTGAAAGTTGTATGTTTGATTAATGATGAGTGCCAAATTTTATGAAGTAACTTTTAGCATCTATGGAAACGCCCATCTATTCTTTCCTTTGACACGGTGATACATTATCATCATAGAATTCCCAATCAGAGCCATCTTTACAATCCCAGAAACATCCCAACGACACACTGTGCCCTTTCCCTCCAGGACACAGCTAGGTTGGTTGAAATTTCTTCATCCTGTGCATTTGCTTATCTTCCCAATCAATTTATTATTTTTATTTTCCAATAATTTTTCTCTTAATTTTATAATATAAATATTTAACTCATGTTTTCCTAACAGTGTCTTGAATTGATGGCTTCCTCTCAAATAGGCAAGAATGGCAGCTGCTCTGCAGTGCACTCCTTTCCTCCTCCACTGCCATCTGCCACTTTCCTCATTAGCACTGGCAATGTTAGTTCTAAATTCATATCAATATTTATTGGAGCTTAGTAGCAATTCTTACTTGTGCTAAGTATTCCCTTGCGTCTCATTTTTTGAGGGGAGGTATTCTGGGCCCTGCAAAGACAATTGTGTCACTCATGTTCAGCTGCTTTAGCTTGACATATTTGAGCCCTTCCACATGCTTCTTAATACTGTTTTCTGTCTTCTCCTATTTTGTCAGTGTAACTGTAGCAACTTGATGTTTTCAGGTTATCATGTGCTAAGTCATGCTTCCTTGAATTTGTGGCTTTGGGCCTCACGTGGAGCCTATTGCTATGGGAATTGTGTCAGTAAACGAGATCTGGTGACTAAAAATTAATTCCTTGAATTAAAGAGGGCAGAATGTGTGTTTCATTGCTATGCTCTAAATGCCTCCACCATTGCCATGATGAAACCTGGGATGGTGCCGGAAGGTGGAGACACTGGGCAGTGATTAAGGCACGAAGGAGGTCAGTTGCCACTGTGGAGCTACACAGTGTGATCTCACAGTGGAGCTACACATCATTAGTGTGTGATCATGAAAATGCAATAGCTCTTCTATAATGGGGGAAGAGGCATCTTGGAAACCTAGTTCATAAGGATAAGCCATAAAGATATATAGGAGTTTAACCAATAATTTAACTTTGACAAAGTTATGTAATATTTTTACTGGAGCCTTGGCTAGCTTTACAGAATGGCACAGTGCCTTGCCAGCCTTTGTCCCTTGGGTGGACTCATAGATACTTTTCTGTGAATTTCAGAAGTGGGTGACACAGACTCTTAAATACATACCTGAGTTTCTGAGAGCCTGGGTCCTTGTACAGCTGCCATCCCTTCCCTTTGTCCCAGTTACAGACATGAGTTCCATGACCCTGTGTGGCGGGTAGCCCCCCTCAGCCAGGCTTTAGTAAGCCCGTTTGGCCTGTGTTAATTCTGTCTCCTGCAATAGCTCCATGAACAATGATGTAATGATGTCATGTCTACTGAGCCAAGTGTAGCTTGTTTGGTCAGGTTTGGTTGCTGGAGGTGATGGGGGTTGGTGGTTCTGCCTTGTGACATGAATTTGGCCTTATTCTGATCCTAATTTATCCTCACAGAAGTATGTGTTTCCTGTCATATTTCACAGAACTATAGCCATCAACCCACAGGGAGCTGAGCCTTCTGAGCAGGCCTCACCTTTCCCCAATCCTTTTCCTCTCCTATTGGTGTGGCCAAGCTGAGGGAAGGATCTGCTGGCATCATCTGCAGGGCTCACCAGGTCTTCTCAGATGTGAACATTCAGAGCCACAAGCCCCAAACAGAGCATGGTTGGCACCTCAGGATTCCTACCTGGGGTTTGTAATTCAGGTCGAGTGTATCTACCATTCAAGGGTCATTTTTATAAAACATAATGTTTCCTGGATGAACACAGCTGCTATTGTACTTGTATCAGATTTTTAGACCACAGCCAGAAAATTAGCCCGAGGTCAGATGAGTCCAAGGAGAATCAGAGAAATGTGTTTGTGAGCCCTTTCCCATGAGAGGTTACCATTGCAGCAGCCACTGAAATAGGTGTCAAATTGGACACTGGGATAGATTCCTGAGTGTGTCTCATGGTTTCTAGGACTGCCTTCTTATAATGGCCTTTCCCAGGAATATAGGAAGTTGAGGCAGGAGGATCACAAGTTCAAGCCCAGCCTGGGTAATTTAGTGATTTAGTAAGACTCTGTCTCAAAATTTTAGAAAAGATCAATGCTGAGGATCTAGGGTTAATGCTGAGTACTGGGAAAAAAAAAGTTCAAACAATCAAACTGTCTGGCCTAATATTTGGGTATGCGGCTAAAAACATTTCCCCTTTAAAAGAGAATAAACCGTTTTTAAAGTACAATTAAAACGGGCCATGGTTATATAGTTAACTTTTCAAGCAGTTGATCTAAAGTTTTTGCCTAGTGGGTTCAACCTCTGTGCTCTTTCTGGAAACATGTCTATTAATTAATTTTAAAATTAATGGACTTCATTTTTAAGAGCAATCTCAGGTTTACAGAAAAATTGAACAAGTAGTACGGAGAGTTCCCATAACCCTTTCTCTAGCAGTGTGTTGTAATTGCTTGTCTTATTATAATATCTGCATTAGTATTTGTTGCTATTGGTGAACTAGCATGGGTGATGTAATGCTTTACATTAGAGTAAGTCTTTGTACTGCTCCCGGCTGTGCTTTTGACTAATAGACAATGTGGCATATCCAGTACAGTTATTATACACAGTGGTTTCTCCATCCTAATTCCCTGTACTTCATCTGTTCATTTTTTTTCTCTTACTCCCTCTCTCCCCCTGAGCCCTTGGCCATCCCTGACCTTTTCATTATATCTTTAGTTTTACCTTTTCCAAAATGTCATGTAGCTGGAATCACACAATATGTAGCTTCTTTAGACTGGCCCCTTGCACTTAGCAATATGCAAAATTATAAGACTTCTAGAAAACAACATAGAAAATGTAGGTGATTCGGGGTTTAGAGATGACTTTTTAGATACCACATGTAACTATAGAAATCGGTTTCTGTCCACCTCCCCAGGAGTTGTAGTTGCTGCCTGTTGTAGGTTGTTTGTTTAGTGATCTTTCTAAGCAATTTTTGTGTATTGATTCATTTGTTCTCGTGGCTCTGAGGTTGGGGATTAAACCTCAGGCCTTGTGCACACCCTCGGCAAGTGCCCCACCCCCGAACTACATCTGCAGCCCTCTACAGTATTTATATCAAGGTTATGTGTCATCTGAGGATGTCGAATTCTGTTCTGTTACCTCTATGCTGATCAGGTTATCTGAGGTTTTCTTAAACCCCTGGAGCAAAACCCAAAGAAAACAAAACACTAAAAACAAAAGCCAAAACTCAGAACCACCTTCACACTGTGGCTCTGTGTTGATTCGCTTCTCGCACACTGGTCAGGGCTGTCCAGGACTCTGACTTAGTCTTTACTTTCTGCTTCCTCAAAGCCTAAACATTCAGCCGGAGGTGAAAGTTGAGTATTTTCTCAGGTGTTCTGTGAGCACGTGTCCTCGGCCTGTGTGGAGTCCTAACTTCCTTAGTACACGTGGAGCTTTTCCAAGCCTTTTATCTCCTGGGCATTTCTTTCTCCAGCCTCCTCCTTCCCCAGCTTCTCAGTATGCCTGCTGCCTGCCCATCCATTACCTCTTGCCCTGGTTGGCTGAAGCTAGTATATTTTCCTTTTACTGTTTTCAATGAGTACTGCCCAAGAGGCTGCTCTGACCCTGAGAAAGTTGAGCTGTGTTTGGAACAAAGGGTAGCCCCCAAGTAAACCCCTTAGAGCCACTGAACAGGTCAAAATACATCGCCACAATTCTTTGCTAAAATGTTTGTGTTATCCCCTCTGACATTAGCAAGCTGCATAACAGGGGAAATATAAAGTTACGGGGACAGAAATCACTGTGGTGCTAACTAAGGAAGTCATTGAAAATTATGTAAGGGTTTGCAAGTAATCAGACAATCCTTGTTCATCTTGATTTATATTATATTTCTAGATCTTGGCCTCAAACCAGAGAGTTCTGAAGAGCAGCTACCCTTCAGAACCACCACTGCATCATGACCCAAGACAGAGAACCTGTTTTCAGAATCTTTCTTTTAGTTTGCCTCATGGCTTTAATAGTTGGAACCATAACTCAGATCTGTGAAGAAAGTGAATTTCAAGTGTGCATGTCAAAAAATAACCTTACTCATGTTCCAAAAAACCTGCCACCAACAACCAAAAGCTTAGATATATCTCAAAACCACATATCTGAACTTCAGATCTCTGACATCAGCTTTTTGTCAGGGCTCAACATTCTGAAACTTTCCTATAATAGAATCCAGAGACTTGATTTGCGTGTTTTCAAATTCAATCAAGATTTGGAGCATTTGGATTTATCTCATAATCAGCTGCAAAAGATGTCCTGCTACCCTGTGGTGAGTTTGAAACATTTAGACCTCTCATTCAATGATTTTGATGTGCTGCCCATCTGCATGGAATTTGGCAACCTGACACAACTCAGTTTCCTAGGACTCAGTGCTGTGAAGTTTCAACAATTAGATCTGCTACCAATTGCTCACTTGAACCTAAATTACCTTCTTCTGGTTTTGGGAGATAGTTATGTGGAGGAAAATGTAAGAGAGAATCTTCAAATTCTGACTACAGAAACACTTCACTTGGTTTTTCACCCAAATAGTTTCTTCTCTGTCCAGGCAAACATATCAATTAATACTTTAGGGTGCTTACAACTCAGTAATATTAAACTGAATGATGGGAATTGTCAAGTTTTTGTTGAGTTTTTATTAGGACTCACTAGAGGTCCAACATTATTGAATCTTACTCTCAATCATATGGAAACCCCTTGGACTTGCTTGGTTAGGATTTTTAAATACCTTTGGCCCAGACCTGTGGAATATCTCAACATTTACCATTTAACAATAGATGAAAAGGTTGAAGATGTACAGTTTATTTATCCTAATACAACCTTGAAATCCTTGAAACTAGAACATATTACAAAGCGAGTTTTTCTTTTTTCACAGACAGTATTATACAGAGTGTTCTCGGAGATGAATATTATGATGCTAACCATATCAGACTCACCTCTGGTTCACATGCTGTGTCCTAATGCACCCAGCACATTTACGTTTTTGAACTTTAGCCAAAATGTGTTCACAGATAGTGTTTTTGACTCCTGTTCCACTTTAGTGAAGCTACAGACACTTATCTTGCAAAAGAACAGTTTAAAAAACCTTTTCAAAGTAAGCCTTATGACTAAAAATATGACATCCTTAGAAATACTGGACGTTAGCTGGAATTCACTAGGATCTGATGCACACAGAGAAGACTGCACTTGGATTAAGAGTATAGTGGTGTTAAATTTGTCTTCAAATACACTTACTGATTCTGTATTCAGATGCTTACCTCCCAAAGTCAAGGTACTTGATCTTCACAACAATAGAATAACGAACATCCCTAAGGATGTCACCGCTCTGGAGTCTTTGCAAGAACTCAATGTTGCTTTCAATTCTTTAGCCGACCTTCCCGGATGTGGCACCTTCCGCAGCCTTTCTGCACTGATCATTGACCATAATTCTATTTCCCATCCAACAACTGATTTCTTCCAAAGCTGCCAGGAGATGAGGTCAGTGAAAGCAGGCAACAACCCATTCCAGTGCACATGTGAGTTAAGAGAATTCATCAAAAATATGGACCAAGTGTCAAGAGAAGTGGTATGGGACTGGCCTGATTCTTACAAGTGTCACTATCCAGAAAGTCATAAGGGAATCCTGCTGAAGGACTTCCACGTGTCTCCACTATCCTGCAATAAAACTCTGCTTATCATTACGATTGTGACCACTGTGCTGGTGTTGGCTGCTAGCGTGACCTTCCTGTGCTGCTATTTCGATCTGCCCTGGTATGTCAGGATGATGTGTCAGTGGACCCAGACGCGGCGCAGGGCCAGGAACGTCCCCTTAGAGGAGCTCCAGAGAAATCTTCAGTTTCATGCTTTTATTTCATACAGTGGACACGATTCTGCCTGGGTGAAGAATGAATTACTACCAAACCTTGAAAAAGAAAATTTACAGATCTGCCTCCATGAGAGGAACTTTATTCCTGGCAAGAGCATTGTGGAAAATATCATCACTTGCATTGAGAAGAGTTACAAGTCCATCTTTGTTCTGTCTCCTAACTTTATCCAGAGCGAGTGGTGCCATTACGAACTCTACTTTGCCCACCACAAGCTCTTCCATGGAGGGTCTGACAACTTAATCCTAATCTTGCTGAAACCCATTCCAGAGAACAACATTCCTAGGAATTATCACAAGCTGAGGGCTCTCATGGCACAGCGGACTTACCTGGAATGGCCGACAGAGAAAAGCAAACATGGACTTTTTTGGGCTAACATTAGAGCTGCTTTCAATATTAAGTTAACACTGGTCACTGACAATGATGAGGTGAAACTTTAAAGTGAGGAAACCCAACTTAAGAGAGCTAGACTCTGATGAGCACGATGGTTCTAAGTTACACGTGGAGGGGCTTCCATTTGTTTTTCATATTTGTTTTTCCATTTGTTTTTCATCTGGGGAAGAGTTCATGAAAACCTTATTCCACCTGAGCTGGGGAATTGGCCTGCGAGTGAAGGTGCTTATTTTGCACATGAGCTACAGCTCATTCTGGTTTAACTATTTCTTTTCACATTGAAATAGCCATTTCTGAGTAATTGCTCAGTCTTCCAGAGAGATTTCCTTTCTCCCCTTTCTTTCCCAACTGGATTCTGTGTGATCAAGAGCCTGTGTAGCTTCAGGTCAGGAAGAAATGAATCAAGATCAGAATTGGCTCATGGTCCTTTGGTTGAGCCATGGATTTCATTGGCCTCTGTGTGAGCTTTATTATCCTGCTCAGCTTGGGGCTTGAGGGAAAAAATTATTCTTGTGTTGGAATATAAGAAAGCATGTTTTTTCCAAATCTGGGTAATAGTTTTAATTTTTTGATCCTGATACAAAGATGTGACTATCCAGTGGAGACTCATGGCATAAAAACGTATGTATATAAAGAGAAATAAAAGATATGGGTGTACTTGCTTCCCAAGGAAATGTGGGGCCAAACTTATTCATATGTGTAACTACATATTGAATGGGGTTTTTCTTGTTACTTAGAATTCGAGCTCATGCCCAGAGGTAGCCTGGACACTTCCACTTTGGTTAAACCACTGTAGTTTGGATTCCTCTGATAGAGCATCTTATTCTATACCCTTAGGAACACAGACATCTGTTACACAGAATAATGGACAATGGACAGCTCCCCTCTGATGACAGGACCTGTGTGTCCCCCACTGCGACCTGGAACAGAGCACCTGCCATCCCAAGCCACTGCTGTCTCTTACCTGTACAAGTGTCAAATGGCCTTTTCACTGACCTCCTTGCCCCTACACTTGCCACCATGGCAATCAGAGTGATTTAAGGTGTACATTATACTAAACATTCCCTGCTTAAAACCTTCAAATGACCTACCTTCCCTAGTAATGGGATAAAAGTCAAACCTTTCCTGGTGGCCAGGACCTGTCGTGATCTGCATTTCTCCCCTGAACTCGCCTGTCTCCCCTGTCCCTCTTGCCCTCCCTCTTGTCCCTGTTGCTTCTGGATGCTCTGAAGGCTTCACACTGGCTTCCACCTGGGTCACCAGTGCTCTTGGTGGGAGCCATTTTCCAGAGCCAGTGTAGCTGTCCTCACCATTAGCAACTCACTCGGATACCACCGGGGCAGGGAGCCCTGTTGTCCTCTGGTGGCCTTCACAGCACTCTGTGCACTTATCTTTTTCCTGCTTTCCTCCACTCACTGTAAGCACAAGAAAATGGGAACCTACTCGAGAGTTCACTGCTACTCCTCAGTGTGTGACCCACAGCAAGTAGACAGTTGTTGTAGTCAGGGGTTGTAAGGAGAACGAGATGATACAGGACACATAATTTATAGTATTATTTTTGGTAGTCAGGGTCAAATACAAGAAGTAAAGAAAATTAAGTCCTGAGGAAAATCCAGACCTCGGTTAGATCCAGAGTGACAAGCTTCTCCTGGAGATTGAACAGCGTAACATCTTCCCCTCTGGAGCCCAGAAGCAATGCTCAAAATAAGGACCAAAGATCCCCCAAAGTGAACCGCAGCTATTCTCAGCAACAAGGTCATGAGCTTCTTCGATGATAACAGCCAAGTTCATATTAGGGGAGCCAGCACGACCAGCGCCTCCAGGAGAACCAACAACCCCCACAACAACACCACTTAGGAGATCCCACAATGCTACTCTTTCTCTCCAGGTCTCCTTTTTATACTGACAACAGTTCTCAGGTGAGCATTCTACACTCAGCACCGCACTGATTCAGTTCAGCTGGTGTTTAAGTTGACCACCAGTTACTAGTCCACTACAACCGTGAAAACCTGCATGAACAAACAGCCCCAACTGGCCTCAGTGTCATCACAGTCCTCGATTTTACTCTAAAGGACCTTGTGGGCCTGGTGCAGCTGGACCGTGGTGGGTGGGCCCTGGCAGGGTCTGCACCGAGCACTTGTTGACCCCGGTGTCCCTGGCCCACTGCTACCTGGAGAGCTGACCTTGGCCTCGAGCACTGGCCAGTTGTGTTCTCCACTGAGGGATCTGCACTCCTTTCTGCAGCCACTTAAGGAGGTACCAGGACCTCAGGTTTAACCTGAAGCTGGGAGAGAAGTGGGGGCCTTGTTGGGGAGCCCTTGATTGCCCCCCTGGGGCTCCTCCCTTGCCTGGACCAAGAGCCCTTTTGTTTTAAAGATCCTAAAAAGGTACACTTATTTGATCAGTTCAGACACTGTATTCAGGGATTTAAATATCACATTATACCTCATAAATATGTACAACTTTCATGTATTACAAATTGTTTTAAAATGCGTATCTGGAGAGAGGAGGGGGAGAAGATAAAGAATTGCGAGGTGTTATATGTATATACCAACTCTCTAGGATGGATTTACGTTTACTATATACTGCAAACGTGTATGAATAAATATATATGGGGAATAAAAAAAATATATCTCAAAATTGCTCAAATAGATTTTTAAACACTTACTGCAAAAAAATGATAAGTATGTGAGGTAGTGAGTATACCAATTAGCCTGATTTAATTATTCCCCAATGTTATATACAATAACATCATGTCATACCCCATAAATATGTGTATTTGTTATTTGTCAGGAATAAAAATTTAAATGCTAAAAAACTTTTCTTCTCTATCATTTCTTAGGTAGATAAAAAATGGACTCAGAAAAGTGCAAAAACAACCCCAAATCCCATAAGATAAATCCTCCCTGCATCCCATGTTTGTGTGATGCTTTTACACGCCCTAACAAACTTGCCACAATTTAAGTAGTTCGCCTTCATATGTATGCATTTATTAACGCTGGAAGGAACAGGACGTGGCAGATAAGCTCTGACAGGTAGGTATGTGTCCACTTGAATTGCTGTAACAAAGTGCTATAGCCTGGTTTATAGACCACAGAAAATGTATTGCTCTCCATTTTGGAGGCTGGGAAGTCCACTATCCAGGTGCTGGTACATTGGAGCCCATGGTGGCCTGCTTTCTAATTTATAGATTTCATAGATGCCTGTCTTGTCACCATGTCTTCTTCAGAGACAGATGTGAAAGAGCTTGCTTTCTTAACTTTCTTTCTTTCTTTCTTTCTTTCTTTCTTTCTTTCTTTCTTTCTTTCTTTCTTTCTTAACTAATCTCACTGAGTGGCTTATAACAATAGAAATTTATTTCCCATAGTTCTAGAGCCCAGAAGTCAGTAATCTAGGTGTCAGCAGCAAACTTAGAGGGGGAAATTATCCCACGCCCTCAGCTCCTGTCTTCCGGTGGTTATGGGAATTCTTAGTGTCACTTGGCTTATAGATGTATCACTTTCCCCTCTCCTTTTCTCTAATCCCCCTGTCGTCTCTTTTTCTGTCTCTTATAGGGGTGCTATAGTCAGTTTAGGGGCTGTCTGGATCCTTGGTCATCTCATCTTGATCCTTAGCATAAGCACATCTGCGAAAAGCCTATTTCTAATCGGGTCACCTTTTGAGGTTTCAGGTGAACATGAACTTCTGGGTGAGAGTGGGCATTGTTTGACCCTCTACTCTGGGGTTGGGATGGCTGTCTCTGATGGCCCAGAGACTTAGCTGCATGTGGCAGGAGCAGAAAAAATTTTCTCAGAAGAAAGGAAGGATCTGAAAGAAGCTGCTTGAGAAGTCAGAGGTACAAGGAAGGGAGGACAGGCAGAGGGAGTGGGCTGGATGGAATAGAGGGAGGGAATGGGGCAGGGTGCGAGCTTTAAAGAGAATGAGAATTTATACACGAACACTGAAAAAAGAGGAAACATTTCTGCTGGATTTTTGGAGGCTGATTTGATGAGAAAGGAATAAGAATAAGCTACATGCAGTGAAATAGACCTGAGGGGATTTCTGAAACCACAGGGACTTTCTGAAGGTTTTAAATTATAGTTAATGAGGAATGTCAGCAGAGTCGATTCTCAGTGTGAGACTTTATTTTCCTTTAGCCATTCCAGCAACTGGATTCTGAAATTCTTCCCTTCTCTCCCCTGGGTGAGAGCTGAGGCACATTTCATACCTAGTCGATATTTTTGAGTTATTAACACTGCAGTCTAGTTTAAAAATTATAATCTTAACCAGGCGTGGTGGTGCATGCCTGTAATCTCAGTACTTAGGGAAGTTGAAGGCAGGAAGATTGCCATGAGTTTGAAGCCAGCCTGGGCTACGTAGTTCAAGGCGAGACTGTCTAAAAACAAAAATTATATTCTCTAACTCCACCTGAAGCTCATCTCCATGCACCATATCATAGACTGGGGTTATCATTTAGCTTTGGCATATGTATGGGGGTAAAGTGGGTGTGCTTTAACTGAGATACATAGTTCCTGCCCCTCCTTCTCCCAGATTTATCTTTTCCTGTGTGGAGACCAGGGATGAAGACAGACATTGTTTTCTGTAATTGTGTTGAAGTAGCTATAGGCTAAGTTGCAAGATAGAGACCCCAAATACAGGGGCTTCAGTGAGTTTATTTCTGCTGGGCACTTTATAAAGAAAAGAGATTTTTTTAGCTCACACTTTGGAAGATTGAAAGACCCAATAGCATGGTGCTGGTTCAGGTGAGGGCCTCCTGGCTACATCACATCACAGCAGGGGGCAGGGCGATGGGAACATGTGTAGGACAGAGAGATCACAGTGTGAGACCTGAAGCCAGAGAGCAAAAGAGCAGGAGTGGGAGAGAGCAGGGATCAGACTTTCCCTTTATAACAGCCCTCCCAAAAGAACCAGTTCCTCCAAGGGCAGTGTCTCGGCTCAGTGGCCCCAGCAGCTTCCACAACTTCTTCTAGGCCTCGCTTCTTAAGTTCCCACTGCCTCTCAACCTTATCACATATCACTGAGCTTTCAACACATGAGTCCTTGGGGACAAACTCCACCCATACTACAGACAGGTAGGTAGCTGTCTCTGCGCTGCTGTGAACTCACTCAAGGATTCACGCCTCCCATCTGACTTTGGTCCCCAGAGCTCTTGTCCTCCCATTGCTTGCTTTTTCCTTTACACAGAGTCACAGGACCTGCTGTGTTTTCTCTGGGAGGTGTGGATCAAGGAAGCAGAAGTGGAGATTCGTCTCCCTCCCCAGGTACGTGACAGTGTCTGTTGCAATTTAGCAGGGTCATACTAACAAGAATCTCCAAGTGAGTAGACCCCAGTCTCTCTGCTGACTTATATTTTTGAACGCCAGGGGCAGGGCATAGTGTTCTCTAACACTGCTCAAGCAGAGACTAACCTCAGAGGCTAGTCTTGCACATTTAACCACCAATTCAAGCATCTTCCCGAGGAGAGAGATGCAGAGTCTCCCCGCCCAGGCTCTGTGAGTGATTCTAAGATTGGCTGGAGACAAGATGTCATGGAGAGTGGAGGGTGCAGGTTTACACGATGGACAGTGGCATCCCTGCCCCACCCAGCAGTCCTATGTGGACGGGGCAATGTGAAGGTGGGGTGATGGTGAGCGTGGTTCAGCTTCCTCTTAGATGGCCCTTGGGCGCTCCTGTCATTGATGGTTTTCTGTAGAGTGTGGGAATGTAACACTTCCTTGGGAATATGACCCAAGTCATAAGAAAAGTCCCATAAACAGCTTATTTCTCAGTCGGTAGAACCAACAAATTGGAAGGATAACCAGCTATTGAATTATTTGGCAGATGAGCAGTCTAAAAGGATATATTCCAGATTTGTTAAATAATCAATAAAAAGACTTCACTCATAGTAATAGGAGAAAGGGGAGAGAGTAATGTCAGAATCTATAGTCATTGGTGCAGAAAGTCTACTGTATGGACTATTGTCCTATCTTAAGGAAATAATTGTTCATGCACATCTAAGAGAAATATTGCTGCTTATTGCAGAATTGTTTCTAATGGGAAAGTTTGAAAACAATTTAAATGCCTCACAGTAGAAGACTGGATAAATACACTATAAATTAAAGTGTTAAAGAAATATTATAAATAAAACGGAGTACTATTCAGCCAATAATAACAAAGTTATGGATAAATACTGATGTGAAAAGATATGGATTATATATTATAGATTAAGAAAAGGAGATTAAAAATCAACACGTACAATATGATATCCATGTGTGTTTTTAGGTAAAATGTTGCAAATTTTCTGAACAGCAATTTGTCAAGGTAGAAGAGGGCCTAAAGTATATTCATAGATTTAAAAAAAATCTGCATGGATACAACAAAAAAGGGATTTGTATAGCTCTATGTAATGGGATTATTATTGAACTAATATTTTTCTTTTCATTTAGTTATATTTTCTGATTTTTCTTTTATTTGCATAATTAAACATCTTATTTGGATAATGAAAATAAAATAACTAAGAACTTTTGTTTGAGAGGTACATAAACAGACATTTATTTGACCTTACTGAGGAGCAGAACTTTCTAAACCTAAATCCAGCATAGCAGTGGATTATCGTTTATATTTAAAATGTTTCCTAACAATCTCACATACTCCTAGGTCATAGGTAAGGGCTTTGGAAGGTGGTTGGATTTTAGGGTTTGTAAATGAGCTGACCCTCCTCTGCCACACCCCTCTGCCATGCTACTCTATCTTGGAATCAGCAACTATGGGCTGAAACCTCTACAGACTGTGAGCCAACATAAACTTACTCCTTTAGGTTGTCGATGTTTGGTATTGATTGTGTCTCAGTCATGAGAAAGTAATTAGGACCAATGAGGAGCAGGAGCTGGCTTGTACAGACTTGTGAGAGCCAATTGTTAAGTATCCCCAAATTTTACAAGCAGACTGGTTGCTAGACAGAAATCAGTAGTACAGGAATGTTGATGCTGAAAATGTCAGCAAATGCTCTTTTGAGCCTGGCTTACTAAAGTATAACTGAATGACATAATAGCAAAGAGAAAAGTGAACTTATTTACTTATATAAAATCTACTCATGTAGTGAAACAAAGGCAAACAGTGGGTAAGATGAGTGCAAACAGTGTGACAGAAGATCAGAGTCAGTAACATCAAAAAGAATGTACAATTAAATATTAAAAACAGCCCCAATACAAAAATAGGCAAATAATATGAACAGGCAGTTCACTAAAGAGATACAAATTTCCAACCCAACATGACAAAGGACCAATGGCTTTTCTTTCAGTTACTTACCTTGTTGCTGAGAGAAAATACCTGACACCCAAAGTTAAAGAAGGAAGGGTTTATTTTAACTCAGTTTGTAGAGGTTTCCATCCACAGTTGGCTGGTTGCAAAGCAGGGTGTCATGCAGAGGGACATCACAGATTAGGAGCAGCCATGGTGTGACAGGGCAGGCAGCAGCAGCAGCAGCAGCAGGCGAAGCATCAGCCTGCCTCTCCCTGTTATCCCTTCCAGCCAATGGCCTTTTTGAGTGATATTAGCCATGCACAGGTTGGTCATTCCCAGAACTATGCTAAACCAATCAATGGGCTAATTTAGGGACCGTGTGTCTTTAATCCCGGGATCACACACCCTAAATACAGCCACCTCCTGTGACCTGTTACCACATGCAGCTTTGGGGAGGACATCTAGATACAAGACATAACAGCATTTACAATGAAAGAAAGTAAAAATGAAACAACAGTGAGATACTGTACTGCTTTACATCAGTGAAATGAACAGATCTCTAAAATGTTAGTTTTGTGTATTGGTCTAATATGTTAC